TCATGACTGCTCAGAGCTTGAGCCACCAGAGCCAGCTATTGCTGATGCCAGGAGGTCTTCTCAGCACAGATGACACAGCCCTGCTGCAGAGGATGTTCCTGGAAGCTGCATCACTAAATGGGACTTGGTGCTAGCGTAGAAGAGAGGAGCGTTTCTAACAGGAAAAGTTCACAAGCAAGCCCACTGGAATAGCTCTGGCATGCCTCGCATCCTCTAGGGAGGGATTTCTCATCATGGGGTGCCATGGGAGGGAGCAGGGCTGCTGAAAGCAAGGCTGGTGGTGCCAGCACAGCTCGGTACCACAGGGTGACCAGGGTGTGTGACTGCTCCTTTGGGGCTACTTCTCACCTTCCAAGCTGGTGCAGACAGACACAGGGATGCTGGGGGGTTGGGACCAAGATTCAGTTTGGGACCAACTCACCAGCAGTACTCCAGCTAGCACCCTTTGTAACATAACTGTTCCTCTGAAGTGTTAGCAATGCGATTTCCTTGAAAAATAACAATATTCAAGAAAAAAAAAATTCCCACACGTGGTGGGTGACAGCATCTTCTGAGTTGCAGGCAGCACTCAGAGCTCAGGCCTCCAGACACATAGCAAAGGAAGAAGTCAGGAATGCAGATGGGGTCAGACACAGTTTCAACAGATTTCACAACCCCTTCAAGAAGCAGCTAAATGGTGGTTGTTTGGGTGGTGCCAGGGGTGCCTCTAGCCCTGTTTTTAAGCACTGTTGGTTGTAAGGGAAAGGTGCAAGCCTTGAGCTGGCATCCGCCGAGCTGCAAGCTGCAGCACTGACTGAGAGGCTGCTGAAACTAGTGGCTGCTTTTCCTCCTCCTGCAGAGATGTTCAGTGTCATTGCCTGACATTGTTCACGGCTATGTTTCTTTAGATGATTTGCAACAGGATTTGGAATTTCATAGGGATGGTATTTGGGAGTCCAACCATGCATCCTCCTGCACAAGGAGGACCAGATCTGGATGAATATACAGTGGCTTCAACCATTGAGCTTGGGCTGCTCCTGGAAATGACTAGCATTTGCACATGCCTGTCCTCATGTTTTCAGTCAGCTTGCCATGAACAGACAAGGCTGGATAAACTTTTCCTCCTTGCCCTGTGGCTTAAGAATGGGCCAGGAAGTTTGTAAACTCACCATTGCCCACGTTCACCTTGGACAGATTGCATGGCCTGCCCATAGCCACTCACCCATGGAGGAGCTTAGCTCTCATGCTTAGAACAGATTGTGCCACTCCTGGGTCACAGCCTTTATGCCTGTCAGCATGAAAAACAATTTGGAAACCTTTTCCCCCTGCACAAAATTATCACTGAATAGTATCAGGTGTCCTCTGTGACAGTCTATCTGCAGTGCTTAGAGCAGGAGACACAGGAGAGGCCAGCATGGACCAGCATGGACCAGCTGTGATAGGGCAGGCTCCCCTGGATTGTGCACTCTTTGTTGGAAGGCAGTAGGATCTGGGAAATTTGGGTTCCTGAGTGCTGCTCCCGCATCTCAGCACAGGGAGAGCTGTGGCAGTGAAACCTATAAGAGTTCCCAGCACTTCTTGCATCAAGGCAGATGCTGAATCTTATAGCCACCACACTGGAGATCATCACCTTCCAAGCTATGCTTCAAGTGAATTTGCCTTTTTTTTCTCTGAACAGGCCTGGCTGACAGCTGACTGCACCCTGAGGCTGTTAAATTATTTGTCTGCTTAGAAGGGCTGTGAAATAATCAGAAGCAGCAGAGAATGTAGGCTTTGAATGCACAGTCATCTGGCTGATAGCGTCCCCCTTGCTTGTGCGGAAGTGGTGTATCGCTTGGCTTGGCTGTGTCAGAAGACAGACTGAAATGGCAATAATTTGGCACACATGGATGCTGTGAAGGGAAGTGATGGAGCATCCTCACCTGGGGTGTTTTACAGCTAGATGGGGCAGATTGCTGTGTCCTTGGCAGGGTGTTGTATGTGGCTCTAGAAGTCTTTGCTATCTCTGATTCCCACTTGGTGATGGGATGTTGTGTGTAAATTGTTTCAGTTTAAGACAGATGGGTCTAATGCCTGGGACATGACCTAGGAGAGTAGAGAACCATTCTTGGGTGACCTACAAAGCTGCTTCATTCTTGGACAGTCTCTGACCTCCCTGGTCCATAAAGGTACATCTCTTCCTCGGGGAAAATACAAAGCTCTGCAAGGTTCTTCGATATTGTGACTGGTCACAAAGAAGGTCCTACACAGAGAGACTGAGGTCCACCTCACCCAGTGTAAGATACCTACCATGAGACAGTTACCACTAAACTTCTCCTACAGTTGAGGAGGAAAGACAAGCATTCCTAAAGCATGGACTGACTAACTGGGGTTTGAGGTCCCTTGAGGAGGGTGACTCCGGTGAAGAGATGCAGACAACTCGTTCAGATGTAGATAAGTACAGTGCAGGGGTCTAAATCCATGTCCATGGGCAGAACCAGCATCAACTGAGGGTGGTGCCAATGGAGGGTTACAGACTTCCCTGGCACCAAGGTTTGCCAGCAACTTCTAGCCACCAGCTTCATTCTGGCATAAGAGGAACAGCACGCATGCAGACTTTACCAGGTACTGAAGGCTACATTTTTCCCTCACAGCAAGAATCTACCTGTGGTGTCCTAAGAAGTGCTGGAATTTGGCAGATCATCATCCCACATGAGGCCCTCACTAAACATTTGCTTTGAATGTGAGACATGGTTTGCACAGAGGACATGGAAAAATCACAAGCAATGGTATCTTAGGGAGCCTTGTGTTTTGGGGACTCCTCTAAAAGGTTTATTGCTTCAGGTCCAGCCCATGTCGCATGGTAGACATGAGCCGTTGGCAGAGCTCAGCAGCCTTGCACAAGGCAGTCTGTAGCATATGGTCGGCTGTCTTTGGATGATGTACATATTGAGAGGTGTGTCCGGGAGTGTCTTCTTCATTAGATGCCTAATCAATGCTCTGTAGCTGAGGCTGTGCCACTAAGCCACTTAGTGACTCTGACCAGTGGTTCATTCCCATCTGTCAGTGCATTGTTTCCAAAAGGAAGGTGCGCTGGAGATTGCAGGTCCTTGGAGCAGTGGGTTCATACAGACATGGCACTAATCTCTCCTTACCACATTATCTGCATGCCCCTCGGTATAATAGGCATATCTGCATCCAGTGCCAAGCCTTGCAGGGCTAGAAATGTTCTGCCAGGCCCTCAGGAGGGTGATGGAGTTGGAAAACTCTACTCAGCCCACAGTGCTGGGGTGGTAGAGGACCTCCCAGTTTCAGAGGTATCAGGAGCAGGAAAGAAGGGCATGAGCCTTGGCCCTAGCATAGTAGAGACAGTGGCATTTGGGTCAAAGCTCCTGGTAGCAAGGGCTCAGCCCAAAGGTAGCCGTCAGCCATTAGCTGTCCAAGAGTCCTGGAGAAGTGGCTTATTCCAATACTGAAAAATGTGCAGTATATACAGGCTTAAAAACCTTCTGGAGGCCACAATCTCCTGCTGATTTACAGGGTCTCATGGCACCCCTGCAGGTGGCAGCTTTTGTGAAATATCAGCGTCAGTGGCAGATGCTTTTGCCCTGACTCTCAGCTTCATCCTTTCTGCTCTTTGCACACACTGATCATTTCTTCTACACTCATGGTGTTCCTGGGTCACCAAGGACAGACATGGCACCTATCACTTCTGAGGACCTTACAAATTTCTGCTTTAGGCAGAAGTTTAAAGGCTTCTGGAGTAATTATCGGAGCTGATCTGGCTTCCACACCAAATGTCACTCACACAGTCACAGGTTCACACACCAAGGTACAGAACTGCTTACAAATTTAGGACAGAAGGGACTTGTGGAATTCTCTACTCTAACCTTCCATTCAAAGTAAAGTTAACTTCAAAATTAGATCAGGTTGCTCAAGATGTATTCCAGGCAAGCTCTGATCATCTCCAGGATGGAGATCCCACAGCATCTCTGGGCCCCTGTTCTTGGCCTGCACCACTCTCATGGTGACTTTTTTCCCCCTAATACCCAATCAGAATTTCTCTTGCTGCAACTTGTGACCATCGCCTCTTCTTCTACTGCCGTGCATTCCTGAGGGGAATCTAGCTCTATCTTCTCTATAACCCCATTTTAGACATACAGTTTCCCCTCATGTCATCAGGATGCTTGGTTTCTCTCAGATGCCGCTTAGCCATTTGCATGTTCTTCATTTTTGTTCCTTGCCCTTATGCCTGAACAAATCTAAAAAGCAACCAAATACCTAGACACGCATTCCAAATCTTAAGAGTGCACATGGTTACTCAGATGTGGCCAAAATACCTGTCATAACGTCAAAATCATTATCTCCTGCATGGTTTCTCTATGGCCAGCACCACTGTGCAAAACTCAGTTTGCTTTCATGTTTCAGTTGTGTTTGGGAAGCAGGTACCAGTGGCATTGAATCCACAGAAGATGGATGGGGCTATCTAATAAATAATAAAGCACAAAAGACCTTTATGGACAAAATATTTATCATATTTATCATTGCTTTCAAAAACCTCTGGAGCCACCTTACTCTACTTGCTTGACTTACAACAGGTCCTTCGCCCTTCCAGAATACACGGTGGCAATATCCAGCTGCAAGAGGTAGTGCTGGACATTCCAACCCAGCCTCCCCTCCCCGCCAGCACCCTTTGCTCACACATGGGCTCTCTCTCTGAGCAACTCTTTGAGCTGAAGTCATGGTCACCTGAGGCTGCTACTGCAGGTTCCAGCCAGGGATCAATCTGTCCCAGGCACTAGGGTACTGCCTGCACCAGGACCAGCCCTGCCCTGCTCACCCATCTGCAGAAGTGAGGTCTGGGTCAGTGCAGGCTACGCAGCTCCTCCCCGTCGGTCCTTCTTGGCTTGGAGCACTCTGCTGCACCACGGCTGGGCCAGGTGTCTGTGCCACACACAGACCCCCGGCACATCACTCTGATACATGTATTGGTACCTTGGGAAAATCCCACATCGTTTCCTGACGCTCTTTCTCTCACAGTTTTACAGCTACGGCTTCAGCAGAGGAGGACCCGTGAGCAGCTGGCAGACCAAGGCATCATGCCACGTGAGTATCTTTTTCTGCCTTTTCTGCCCAGCCCAGGCTCAGAGGGGCTGTGTTCATCTTGGGCACTGCTGGGGCACTGTGTGGCACCAGGGCCCACTCAGACACACCCAGCTCTCAGTAGATTGCTGCCAGGGAGGAATTTGCTTCCTGCCCTGTAGAAATATCATGGGCCCTGGTGCTGTACAACGGTGCCCAGCATTTGTCACGCAGATTATAATGCCGCTGCTCAAACCGAAGTCAGGAGAGATGCTCAGTTTACACCATCCAAAAATTCAGCTGCATACCTCCCTGTCCCAGAGGTCAGTGTGGCAGGACAAGCATATCCAACTCCAAGCAGAAGGCTCACAAAGCTCTTCATGCAGGGGCAAGAGCATGAAAGGGCAGAGAATCTCAAGTCCTCCTGTAAAAGTCAGGAACCTCTGTGGCAGGCTCAAACCCACAGAATGAGGATGTGGTAGAGAGGGCCCATTTCAGGAGGCTGTGGAAGAAGTGGTGGGTGCCTTGGCCCCAGGGTGGAGAGGCAGCCTCTGGACAAGTGAGATATACCCAGATCTGTGCCTGCGCCCAGCCTGGAGCCCACAGGGCAGAACTGTCAGTGTGCACTTGAGGCCAATGAAACCCTACCCGGGGCTGCCTGCTGCACTGCCAAATGGCTGGTGATACCTGTGCTTCCCTGTCTCGGGCCACATTCATCCTCGCTAACCTGGCTTTCAAGCCTGAAGGACAAGCTCGAGGCCAGTATTATCACGTAAACATTCAGCATCAGAAAGCCAGGTGCTAAGAGTCCCAAAAGTAAGTGAACAAAAATGATTGCCTTCTGCACCTGCAGGTGTATCATGAAACCGTAGCACCACTGGAGAAATTATGTTGGGAGCTCAGCCCTGCCTGATGGGTAACTCCATCCTGGCCCAGCCTCAGACTCCATGTGCATGACTCTGTGATTATCTGGGACCCAGGTAGAGGATTATCCTTTCTGTCTTATCAAGGTCCCCTTGGTTTCACTGCTAAGATCACAGCTTTGCAGAGGCTGTGTCACTTTTGTCTCTTTTGGCTAACCTCGAGGACTGTGACGCAGCTCTTGTCTAAACTGCAGAACAACTCACTGAGAGGCTGGCTCTAGCACTGCTTGCTGCACCCTGCCTGTCCCTCTGCCTTTCTCATGCAGCTGCCTTCCTAAAGGACCATGTCAAGGCAACCAAGATGCCTTCTTGACACAGTACCGCCAACATCAAGCCTTAAGAAAACTTGAGGAGGATGACAAAAATCATGACTGTCAAAATGTCACATGGTTTTAAGACTGATAAATGCAGGTTCTTTTCATTTTTCTTCTGTTTATTTCTCCATGTGTTTAGACTTTATGCTGCCTGCCACCAAAGGGTGAGCATTTATAATCAAAGTTCTCCAGGAGCTGGGGCTATAAGCAAAATATTGTGATATTTGTGATAGCATCGCAAGCACTGGCAATGCAGTCAATGGCCAGAAATATGTCTAATGTCTCCTGAACTGCTAAGTCCACCCCACAAAAGTGGTCACGCCCAGACAAGGCACAGGACACCCCACTGCACACACATGGAGCGGTAGTGCCAAGTGAGGGGTTTGTGTACCCCACACCCCTCTGCAAGGCCCCAAGCATGGGACTGCGCTTTTGCAAATGGCTCGTAACGTGTAAAACCTTATACTCTGCAGACCACATATTAGGCCCAAGTTATTTGACGGCAGCTGAAGGATATTTTTCTGTTACCTACAGCTTCTTTATACCCCCAACTTCTAGGCTGGAATTTTGCAGTCTGGTTTCTGTCCAAAGAAGGCCATTTAGGGAAGCTTGAGCACACTCACTGAAAGTAATAGAAAAAAGGGCACTTCTGCCATAATAAAAACCAACATGCAGAGCTTAACTGCTGAATTTGACCTCAGGAGGTAGCATCAAATGTTAGCATTTAATACATGGGAGCCACAGCCAGCTTCCCCATGGTTTGGGCATGTGCAGTCAATACCTTATAAAAAACAAGTCCTTGTTTAACCATATCTCCCTACGCCCTCTTGCCTCTGAGAACCAGCAGATGAGGTGGACTCTGGGAGGTGCACTGGGACAGCATTTCAGTTCACATGCATTGCAGGAGGGCGAGAAATGAAGCCAGATGGCTGTAACCCACATTGGTTGATAATAACCCTTCTGGAAAGCGAAAAGATGGGCATTGCTGGTCTCCATAGCAAGAGTCAGGCTTGGTACCGGGCTTGGAGCATGCACTTGATCCCACATTGCACATCAGATTTTGCACAAGGATTGTTTTCAACCCACTGCATATATTTTCTGCTGATTTGATCGCAGGACAGCAAAACTTTGGTTTTCTAACTGATCCATTTTATGCAGAGACCAGAAAAAGAGACGGAAGGTCAGAGTGAAATAGCATTGGATAAAAGCTTTGAGGGCTTGTAGAAACCCTCATAGGAAGGGGCGTTGATAACAGCAGTGCAGCTACAGCACAGTAACTCTGAAACCCTGGAGTAAGTCCTAAGAAGCCAGCTGGTTTTTGGTGTCCAAGAGAATACTGCAAGAAGTACCAGTGCTGCCTAAACATAGCGCGGGGAGATGGATCTCCTTACCAAAGCCCAGTCCATGAGTGGTTTGACTGGAAAAGATTAATGCCATTGCATACCTGAGCTCTGTTCACATTCCCTTGGATGTTCCTCTAAAATGTGTGAAACCTTGTTCCTCTAAAAAGTGTGAAACCTTCTTCCTCTAAAAAGTGTGAAACCTTCAGATGGTCCCATCACTGGAGAAGGCAGGAAACTGTCTGAAGGAGGATGGTCCAGTGCAAAAGGCAGTAGCATTGCACAAAGACTTCTGGTTTGAAGCTGGGCTCTGATTGTCAGATGTTTTCAGGTTGTAAATCGAACAACTGGCTGGCAAAACAATCACCACCACTGAAAAAGGCTCTACAAATAAAGACAGGGTAGGCAAGAGAAACCTCTGGGTGCCTTCAGCCCGGTGACTTTGTGTCTGGAGAAGCCTTTGAAAGCAAGGGGATATCCCGTTTCATTGAGACACAGTCATACTCCTGAGGTGTAGGAGTGCAGGTGCACCCTGTTCTTCAGGCTCACTGAGTAGGAAGTTTCCAGTTCATGCAACAACACAGGCAGTTTTATTGTCCTAGTGAAACCAGTACAGACCCAGCAAAACCATTTTAAATCAAGAGCATCCTGTAGGGTCACTTGCAGAAGGGCAGGCTTTAGCATTGAGCAGGGACAAACACTTCTTCAAGCACTGCACAGGCGCCTGCCCCAGGCCCCAACCAGGCCCTGCTCCATACCCAAAAGGGGGGTGAGGCAGTTTACAGGACCAAGGATTCCTCAGGGCAAGGTTCCCCCTGCTGTGACGGGCTGAAAAAATAGCTGTGCTTTAAGTAAGACCCTCTTGCTGTACGCAGCCACCACCTCATCCTCTAACTCAAACCTCAGAGGCCATAGTCCTAAGATTATCAACACCAAGCACAGTAGCTCTGCCCTGTTGCCTCCAGACCCCCAGCCCTTTCAAGCTGACACATCATCCCCTGACAAGCTGTTGAATAACCAGTGCTAGCAATATCTTTATTTGTTTTGCAGACTAATACAAGCTGCAGCATCCACATAATTCCTCCAAAAATCTTGGTAAATGACTAAATTCTGCAACATTTTCCTCTGTAATAGCATGGTGTTTGGTCAATGCCCAGAGCACACTCCCAGCTTCAATACTTCACAGCGAGCAGGGCTGTAAAAGTCATCTCTCTTGCTCACTTCATTTTCTTGTGTGCACCGTTTTATTTTGCTTCTGATTAAACCAGCTGTCACAAGTCCTCATGGCTGCTCACCGGAGCATGGCACAACGATTCTAACTTGTCTGTACGTCTGCTTTCCAAATGTCAGGACCAGGAATGTGCCATCTGTGTTTTACTGTGATTTACTGGAGGTTACGAGGGTTGCCCTGGGTGTTTCCTACTAAAAGCCAATTCAGAGGGCCCCCAAACATTTCCCGGCTACCCCAGACTTCTCTTCATCCTCCTCCAGTCTGATGGAGGATAACATGTCCTGTGTGAAAATAATTTCTGTCCTTATTGGATCCCATTCAGAAGATGGAAAGGGAATTCCTGTTGCCAAAGAGCTGTAGCAGACTGGTTTTGTGGGTCAGGACACCTTCCCTGTCCCAATGGGAGCAGTTAATTTTTCATGTTTACACAGCCGGAAAAGAATTTTTGCAGGATCTGAGAAATATTAACCCCTTCACCATGCAAATTCTGCTCCTATTTCTACTGAACCAGAGTAAACAAGGAAATGTGCAAGGTTCTCCATGGCTCCAATATGGACTGCTCCATGGGACTGGTGTTCCCTGGTCCCAGAGCCAGGGATCTTTGGCCTTTTTTTCAGGAGCCCCTCTGGGTTAATCCTCCCTTATGTCGGGAGATGCTGAGAACATGGGCTTCTACCTGGTCTGCTGCCTGCCCAGGGAGGCCCCATGTCACACGGATGCTTCTGGGCAGGGGACAGGAGAAATGCCCAGTGAGAGGCGGAGGAGCAGTCAGTGGTGGAAGAGGGACAATGGACCACAGCTCCAGGGCCTGGCCTTGAAATAGCCCTGCTGGAGGCTGCACCCACACGACCCCAGGAGGCGAGGCAGGTCTTTTTGGTCCTCCTGCTGGCCTCAAGCCTCAGCCACCTGCAGGTTTTACTTGCAGGCAAGGTCCCCTCTCACACTGGTGCTCGTCCCAGATCTGTCTTTTGGGGCTGTGGTGCCTTCCACAACCTGCGGGAAGCACTCCAGGGAAAATCCACATCTGCTCTCTGCTGTGTCCCACAGAGCACTATGTTTCAAAGCCTGCACCCCCTCCCTGCCCATGTGCCTCCCGCACTCCCCGCACTCTCCATCCACCCTGCTCTCTTGCCGTTGACTGGCTGAGAGCACAGGGTTTCCCAGAGCTTCTCTGAGTTATTTTTAGTCAGCGCAATGAAGAGAACGGCTAGTTTGTGTTGCTATTTTTATAGCACTCATTAAAAAGCTGTTGCTGAATATCCTGGTGGCTGCTTGCTTCCGCTCCTGTGCTGACTGCTCCTCTTTCTTTCCTGTTGCAGCACTGAAAAGCCCATCCGCATTCCATGAACAGCGAAAAAGTCTGGAGCGAGCCAAGGTAACTCCGGCAGCCATCTGGATGAGGGAACACGTGGGCTTGCTTTGCATGAGTTGCGGGGTTTAAAAGCACCTTCCACCACTGTCCCCTCCTCTGGCATCCTCCATTTGGGCCCTGTGGCCAAGGATGAGGGTCAGGGCATCTTTCCTGCTTCCAGACATAGTGGGGCCAAGGCAGGGTTCACAAATGTTCTCGAGCACCCTTCTCCAAGCAGGGAAGTTTAAAAGGGCAGAGGGGCCATCTGTGCCCTGAGCCATGGTGTTTCACAACAGCCGCTGGGGTCTACAAGAGGCCATGGGCAGGCTGTAGTCTAGCACAGCATTGGCAGTCTTTCCAGTAAATGTCCAACCAGACAGTCTTGCTTTCGTCTCCGGGCCAGGTCCGCAGCCCGCTCTTTGCTGTGCTTGCTGCTCTCCACTCCTGCTCAGGTCAGCAGGGTTAGAGCAGGGCCAGCAGCAAACAGGACTGACAGAGCCTATTTAGCAAGTGTGCAGGAGGAATGCAGATGCCCTTCATCACCTGGAGAGAGTCCCCAGGGAGCTTGCACTTGTCGTCAGACCGGAGCCTGGCTTTTAGCTGGGCAGTGCAGCCTGGCCACTGCAACGTGCGACGACTGAGGGGCTAAGTGGGCCAGGCTCCCAACCAGACCCATTATCTAACTGCTTCCCTAAATATTGCCGAAGGCAGAGATAAGATAAGTAGCCATTTCCAGAACACATAGAAACTGTGATGCGATCACTTCTTGGGAAATAGCACTGGTTTTCCAAGCACACGCCATCCAGCCTTGACCAAGCTGGAGGGATGTCCAAGGAAAAGGGAACAATCAGCCCTGCAAGTTTTGCTTGATCACAGAAGTTTGTTCCATTAATCTGCAAAACGTGCTTGCAGTCACGTGGAAAAGGACCTTTGCAAGGGAGAATGATTGTGAAATATGGAGAAGTGCTCTTCTGAACTTAAACACACTCCAAATCACTTGCCCCAGTCTCCTGTGGTTATAAACGGCTAGCATAAGAAACACAATATGACTCTGAAAAATTAGTATGCTTACAAAATTTCAAGCAATCCAAAGTATCCTTGAAGTGTCATATATTTTACAGTTTAAGTATACATTTCTGTCTCTGTCTTTCTCTTCAAAAGCTTTCCCTGGCTAGCTGCCTGGGGAAAAGGGAAGGATGGTCTAGTCTATCCCAATCTACATGCATTTTTAGAGCATGCTAACAAAGACACTAATGAGCACAGCCCATAACAAACATATACTCCTTTGCAAGGATGCCCTGCTTAGAGCTGTGACAGGGAGGAGCAGTGGCTGTTTCCAGATAGTTACTCAATGGCATTTGTTGTTTAGCTGATATTCCTCCAAAGTGATGTTCTGCAAACAGAAAGCAGGTAACAATAACCACTTTCATGTGTTTTGAAAGCTCTTCTGCTTCATCTGACGCTAAAAAAAAACCCCACATCTGAAGTCTTTCTCCACCATTTGCGCCCCAGTGACACAAATGTAGCTTATAAACAGCAAAGGTCAAAAGGAACTGAAATCACAGCAGAAAGTCAGGCTAATGCAGTATGAATGCTGGGTTCAACACGAACAATGCCACATCTGGAGGACAGCAATTCAGGCTTAGCCCAAGTCAGGACCTGATCCGAGGGTTAGCTGGAAATGCATTAGGTGAAATTAATTGCACTCGGGTACAGACACCAGCTTGCTCTGACCTGCCATGAGAACCAGGCAAACCTACATATGGTCCAAGCAAGGGATTGTGTTGGTGAAAATAAGCTGGGGAAAAATATGGGGGGAAGAGTAAGGAACTGCAAAGACTTCAGTAAATAAAATGTCTATTATTTGTTTAAACATGTCACTGGCTATGTTACAGGCTGACATCAGGCCAGCGCAGCAGACTTTGAAGTCAATGTCCTATAATAGATTGGTGGGTTGGAGGCCAGAGAACAGGCTGACTTCCCTGCAGCAGACTGTTTCAGCAGGGCTTTAGCATTTACTGCAGCACCCAGCAAGTGGGGAAGGGAGGGACTGCAGGGGATGGCTGCCCCAGAGCAGAACAGCCCATGCCTGACAGATGTCTGACCAATGGACATCCCACCCCCCAGCTACCTGTGCTGCTCCTCTCTAACCTGTGCTGTTAGCAAGTGTCCCCCGATTCCCAACCCAGGCTGTTCTGTTGAAGTTTAAGCCCATTACTTTTTCTCCTATATGCATGCAAAACTGTTCATCATTTTTCTTGTAGCACTTTTTAGAAGCATTTCGCATCCTGTTTCCTTATAGCCATCTCACCTCTGGGCTGACCAACCTCCCCTCCCTGCAGCCTCTCCTCACTGATCCCATCTCTGGCTCAATAACAATTTCTGTAGCCACTGTCCAGACCCTTCGCATGGACCCTTTAAGATGCAGGGCACAGAACGGGGCCTTGCTGTTCCTAGGGCCCGTCTGACATCTTGCGTTGTCTCCTAGAAAGCTACCTGCTGGACTGGGGATGTGGTTCTGCTGCTGATGACTGGATTTTCCAGAGCCTTTTATATTTTTTTCTCTATTTGTGGAACAACTAATTTCTGCCTATGGCTACTGTCCAGTGATGACATTAAGTCTTCATCCACCCCAGTGCCTAATCGGCAGGCTTAGCCGTGGCCGTGACCTGAATGCAGTCCTTTCCAAATGTCCTTCTTGAGATTGTATCAAATGTACTTCAGATCATTTCAGATCATGTTGCATTGTAGCCTGTTAGCCTTGAATGATCCAGAGTTAAGGAGTGTCTTCTATCATCCAAGGCATTAATGGGTATATTGACTAGTAGGAAAAATTGCTGTGTAACGTGCTTTATCCCTGGAAACATTCAAGACCAGGTTGGATGGGGCTCTGAGCAACCTTATGTAGTTAGCGGTGTCCCTGCTCACTGCAGGGGGGTTGGACTAGACGACCTCTAGGGGTGCCTTCCATCCCAAAACATTCTATGATTCTATGCTTTGATATGTTCTTCTGTTTAGACAGTGAGCCATTCCTAATTCCTCTCGTGACCCACAGCTGTGTTCCTTTTTTATGTTAGTCTTATCCAGACCAAATTTCTCTGGCTTGCATGTGAGAAAGCCATGTGAGATAATGTCAAAACATGCTTAGAGTCAAGCTACATGACATTCATTGTTTACTCCTGTAACAGAAATCTGTCATCTCTCCATAGAAAGAAATTAGGTTGATGTGATGTGGTTTGCTCTTGATGAATCCGTCCTGGCTGTTACTCACCTCCTTGCTATCTTCAAAACCCATTTATATAGATGGTTTCATTACTTGGTCCAACATCTTGCTGACTGGTTTATAATTTCCTGGTTTCTTGTCTCCATCTCTTTTGAAGCAAGAAATTATGCTCTGCCTTGCCCCGTTTCCTGGAGACCCACAGATAGTTGCTATTACTCTAGCCTTGTGTATCTCAAACTGTTTGGGAACACTTAACTCATCTGAGTATTCTCCAACCTGTTCTCCAACCTGAAAACTGGAGCTTCTTCTCTTTTGTTGCTGAAGGTTCTTGGCTTAGTCATCTGATTGATAAATAGCCATTTATCTTTTGAGTGAGGATGGTTTAAAAAGGCATTAAATCCTGTAGCCATCTCAGCAGCACGCACATTATTTCTCCTGTTTATGGAACACAGACAGCGCTTTCCATTGCTTTGTCCTGGCTACAGAAGTCCTTATAAAATCTTTTTCTCATGATCCTGTACATTTTGTACTGTAGGTTTTCCAGTTTTGCTCCGCTGCTTATACTATTCTTTTATATTTACCCTTAAGACTTTAACCTCTTTGAACTATGTACATTTTTTGTGCTATTTCTTCTTGCATCTCAACTTAGCAAACAGCTAAGAATTTGTCCAAGTTGTGCTCTAGCTTTTCTTCCCCAGCGGATAAGGTTATATTTGTATTCTTGAGGTCAGCTGCCCCCAACGCTGACTTCCTTGGACCTAATGGACAGCGCTACTTACTGTACCTCTGCATGTCTTTCTGTTCCTAAAGCCCTGAGGAAGTTGGCACAAGCCTCCAGGACCATGTTCATCACAAGCTCAGCTGCAGTGATCTGCAAAGTGGATTTTCCCAACCCCCCATCATAGCTGGGGTGAGGCACACAGGAGCTGCAGGAAGGCTACGCCTTGTGACTGACCTGGTAGAGAGTCTGGGTATCTTCATGACCTGCTCAGCCTTATATCTCACCCCAGAGTGCCAGGCTTCCCACAGACACCACTGCTAACAGCACAGTCTGGAGCTGCCTTGGTGCAGCTCTCAAAGGTGACGTGGCATGCTAAGCTAGGAGCAGATCCACCACTCCCAGTGAATAGGTCTCATCCTTCCCATGAGCTGTCATAATACTGGAAAGAACACAGCTTAGAAGTGGGTATAGTGGACAGTCAGAAGCTGCATGCACACTGTTCCCTTTCTGAAGAACTTCTGCCCAAGAACAAGCCAGTGTCCAAGTGAGAATGCCATTTAGGAGCTCACTCAACCCAGCTTGTAATAAATCTAAGAGAACCGTGGGATGGCACAGGGACAGACACTCTCTGTACCTTATTTCTGCTCTAGCCAGGTAACTCTCTGCATTTGTGTTCTGCAGACTGAAGATTATCTCAAGCACAAGATCAGAAGCAGGCCTGAGCGATCAGACCTGGTCAATATGCACATTTTACAAGGTAAGACTGCCTGAGCTTCTCCCACCTACTCCTTGTGTCTCCTGCCTTGTAACGCATGTCTCTCCTGCCCCACGTGGGTCCCCTTCAGCACTCTCATCATGACTTACTTTGTCCCAGCTGCTCGTGAGAGGCAGATTCGAATGGGACGCCTGTTGTACAGAATTCAGTCCAGACCTGGTCTTCAGGAGTCAGGACACACATTTATTCCCTGAGAGAAGCAGACTCAAGACCATCTAATCTTTGTCCCATCTCTGGCAGGGACTAGTATAAGATGCTGTAGAGGACAGTGGAGCAGAGAACAGCTATGAGAGGGGACTCTGTTAGACAGAGGTGACAACCTCTGATCCTCATGACAAGCATTCCCGGGCATTTGTTGTCCAGGGCGCTGAAATCTCTGCTTGCAATACCCTCCCAAAGTTGGGCATCTTTTGGTTTGCCCTAATTCTGGATATTATATGTGACAACTCATGGACATGCAGTCAATGATCCAAGCACAGCCATATGAAGAGGGTGAGCCCTGCTATGCCACAGCAGCTCTCCCCTCTCCCATCCCGGGGTCCCCTCCCAGGCAGAGAGCTGGCATGTCTCTGCTGCATCAGATCACAGACAGCAGAACACTGCGGTGTCCCTCGTTATCTCCAGAGATAATGAGCTCCTTAGAGACAGGGAGGATGTGCAGCCTCTCTCCTCAAGTCCTGTCAGTCGCCTGGAAGCAGTTCTCTCTGGCAACTGTAAATGCTGGCCTCTCCTCTCAGCATGGATGAAATCCCTATTTCTTTTTCCTCTGGCATGGAGGAGGGCTGAGCCCACCTTGCTTCTCCCTTGGGTCTCCATCCCTAGAATGAGCTAGCACCATTACTTGTTTAACAGGCAGAAAGTGTCTTTTCCTGAGGTTAAATAAATAGAAGCAATAGGCTTCTATTATTAATAGCGCTACAAAAATGATCCGAGGGCTGGAGCACCTCTGCTATGGGGACAGGATGGGAGAGTTGGGAATGTTCAGCCTGGAGAAGAAAAGGCTGTGGGGAGACCTAATTGTGGCCGTTCAGTGCTTAAAGGGAACCTGGAATGGGCTGCCCAGGGAAGGGGTACGGTCCCCATCCCTGGAGGTATTTAAAAGACTGATAGACGAACTGCTTAGGGATGTGGTTTAGTGGTGGGATGGCAGTGTTAGGTTAATTGTTGGACTTGATGATCTTAAAGGTCTTTTCAATCGTAAATGAATCTATGATTCTGTAGGAAAGGTGGGGACAATCTTTTTAGTAGGGCTGGTTGTGACAGGACAAGGGGTAATGGTTTTAAACTAAAACAGGGTAGATTTAGACTGGATCTAAGGAAGAAATTCTTTACAATGAGGGTGGTGAAACACTGGCATGGGTTGCCCAGAGATGTTGTGGATGCCCCATCTCTGGAAGCATTTCAGGCCAGGTTGGATGGGGCTCTGAGCAACCTGATCTGGTTGAAGGTGTCCCTGCTCCCTGCAGGGGGTTGGACTGGATGGCCTCTTAAAGTCCCTTCCAACCCAAGGCATTCTGTGATTCTATGATTCTATGATTCAATACGGACTGGAGTCAGGCCCTGGGGGCTGTAAACCAGATGTGGAGGCAGCCGCCACCCCTGGCATGGACAGGACTGGGCAGAGACGGCCAGAGGAGAGGTGAAGCAGAGGCTGCCTGGATGTGTAGTGAGCAAGCTGGCTGTGCTGCCCCACACACCTCTTGGCCAGACCCTCTGCTCACACCTCTGTCCCCGTGCTCTGCATTTCATGGAGGTGTGCCCTGGCATAGCACGGACTCACTTGTCCGTTTGGTTCATAACAGGACCTAGAGGTGATTGAAGTTGGCCAGCTGAGACAATTTGCATCCTCTAAATGCCTTACAGGCACACCTTCTGTTACTGTTCACCTCAAGGAGCTCATGCATATTCACTGCCCTGTATAGTCTGAGGCCAGAAGTGACCCTAGATCAGCTCTCTGAGAATTTTTCCTTCGTATCAAGCCCTGTAGCTCGATCTACCTACAGATGCTCTTCTGGAACAGTGCCCCTTCTGAAGATAGCACAACTTAGATGCAGCCCTTCTTACTTTAGACCCCCAAGGGTATAGACATGGTCTGGTTTAGGATCCCGCTCCCTCACTGCTCACACCTGTGCCTCCAGAAGAGCCAGATCACCTTTGTTCAGGAAATCATTATGTTTAATTGGCTGCTCCTCTGTCACCACTCAGTAACTGGGGACTGCTCAGCTGGCTTTGGTAGGGCTGTAGCTTGCAGATCTAGCTGCCTTTTTTATGCTCCTCTCTGCCTTGTTTTGGCCCCAAAAGCCTGGAGCACTGTAGTCACGCTGCATCCAAACGTTCATTCCCAAAAACTCAGCAGCTGATCTTTCAGTGTAAGCCATTTACTCCAGTTGACAGTGTTAATAGTTCTTTTCTCCAGCTGTTCCCCAGAAGTAGGAATCCATCTACATTAGCCCACAGGGTCCAGTGGGCTCCTGGCAGGAAGGAGCTGGAGTCCACTTTGGCCCTCTCATTAGTCGTAGTTTGTTAATGAAGTTTCCATTGCAGATCATTCCTGGGCCTTGGGGAGGATGCTCCAGCTGCAGGCTGGGTTTGCAAGCCTCGGCTAGTAGACAGAGGTTCTTGCTTGGGAATGGAGAAGCTGGACCTGAGGCTTAGAGGAGGACCCATGTCCCAAACCCCACCATCCCCATCCAGTCCAGCCTCCCAGCCTCAGAGCAGCTCCTGCTGTGCACTGAGCCATGCTAAAGTTTTGGCCATGGCCCAGAAATGCTGTGCTGAAGGGGAAGCACATTCTCGCTGGGCACTGTGCTTACAGATGCCCCAGGTCCTGAATTGATGCCTTCCATTTGGCCTTTTAGACTCAGCTGCAGAGGGGTCCATTCAATCTACTCAAATGAAGCTGAAAAGAGCCCGACTGGCAGATGATCTCAATGAAAAGATCGCTCTCAGGCCGGGTCCTTTGGAGCTGGTGGAGAAGAATATTATCCCTGTCGACTCAGCTGTGAAAGAGGCCATAAAAGGTAGTGGAAGTGAACGTGCATGTTGTGTTGTGTGCATGGCACGGGGCAGGGGCTGGCAAGGTTACGAGGATGTACTGCAGCGACTGCAGGAAGTAACCAGCCTGGACCCAAAAGCTGCATTTTTTGTTTAAATTTTGTTATTTTCACAGTAAGCAGCCCAGCCCAGCGTAGCCTGTGCTATCTTATCCAGACCGATGAAAAGAGAGCTCTTGTCTTCTTAGAGCAATGACCATGGAAACTTGCACAATTGCTCAGCCATGTCTCCTCAGAATGAACCTCCCTTCTTAAACCCCTTCCCTCCCCAAGGCTTTGAGCACATAAATGATGCTGCTGGAGACAGTACATTCCTTCCTTCCTCATGTGGGAGAGGACCCAGGTGCATGCATGTGGTGGTGAGGCCAGCCTGGATTCTCCCACTTGTGTCCTGCCAAGCTTTTACATCCCAGTAGCTGGGGTGAAGTGGCCCCAGTTCGGAGAAGCTGCGGTTCTCTTTTTTTCCACTGATGCTAGTGGTATGCAAGGCTCAGCAGAGCAGGAGGCTGCATCGCTGAGGTGGGGAAGCACCCCGGGGTGCTAGACTGCTGGGGAATATGAGGAGCAGCCTGCACCCCAAATCAAGGTACACTTCTACGCAGCACTTGATTTATGCCTAAACTTGGTTTTCCTCCATCCCCTACCCAGCCAGAGGAGGGAGGCAGAATCCTTCGCAATTATTTCCCCCATGCTGCCACAGAGAGGCTGGTGCAGGAGACGACACAAAACAAAAAGGTGACTCAGATTTTGACTCAGGTCCCAGTTCCAGGACAGGGAGGTCCAAAAGAAGAGAAAGGAGCAGGAAAGCCAGCAGGGTCCTACAGTACCAGGACAGCAGCCCGTATTTTCCAAACCTGGGGCCACGTCTGCATGTCCAAATTGGCCTTTGGGTCTCAAGTGAGGCACTGAGAGGTGCTCTGCCCCCTGGGAACTCTGCATTCTGGTTGCTCCTGGTTCCTCAAATCATGGGATTATTTCCATTGGCATAATCCCATGTTACGCACCTGTTTTGGGCCTCAGAACAGGCTGGGGACAGTGGGAGGGCTCTGGGACAGGAGGGCTCTTTGAATGACAGGAGTGATGCCGAAAACGAGAACTGAAACAGGAAGCATTTTGACTTTTGTTTCAAACCAGCATAAATGGCATGAAATATTCCAGGCTCAGATACCGCTCTGTCCTGCCCTGCACTGTTCCTGCTCTTGGTTTTCCCACTGAGAAGCGCAGGCAGTGTCTGTACAGTGACTTCTCCATTTCCAGTGCTTCACAGCTCTTGCCTTTGAAGGTGAAATGTTCCAGGACTCTGCCTGAAGAGGAATTTTTACAGAGAGTTCAAGTAAAAATCTCCCCAGCTGCTTATCGAAGGAGAGAAGAGTGGAAAAAAAAGCTTAAAAAAATCCCCCCTTTATAAACATTCAAGGCAGTTTGAGCGTGACTTTATCCACTGAAGCTGAGGCTTGGAGGCTGGGCAAGAGTGTTTGATGTTTCAACAGAGGTTCTCTCCAGCTGCCTTGTCAGGAGCTTGTGGTAAACAGAGACTTATGGGACAAAATTGTTAAAAACAAAAAATCTGGCTTAAAATTATTTGCTTAATTTTAAATTTCTCCCTTTCGCAATGCCCTTCTATCACACTGCTGGGGAGAAAAAAACTTTGTCCTGTAAGCCAGTTTTACCCCATTTAGGGTGAAACACGCAGCACATTAGGATGAAACCTGAAGTTACTTGGTAGTGTTGGGTGCCATGAGAAGGAGGTGGTGCACCTGCACCAGGAACACAGTCCCAGCCTTCAGGTTTCTGCAGGAGAAAGCCCCAGGCCAAGGGATTCTCAAGCTGATTTTTGGAGTCAGAGGCTCCTTGCGGAGCTCGTGGTTTGGAGTGAAGGGCTGAACACAGAGCAGAGATGAGCCCTGGCACTTCTGAACGTTAAGCCTTTTGTTTTTGCAATACCAGAAAGATGACAGGGTTTAAAATAATTTTACTTTAACCTTGGAATCTCAACTGTTTACACAGTGGAAAGTTCAGCTGACGTGTTCCTCTAATCACCTCCGGCAGGGTGAGCAGAAAGTGCCAGACCCCAACCGAAAGCCCTAACGTCCCAGTGACAGGAGGCCGCCAGTGCCCTACATAGCTGAGCAGTGATATAAGAACCTTTTTTTACCAGGTCCTTGTCATCACTTTGTCCAATATGCTTGAGAGGACAATACCCAGTGCATTAGAAGCAGGCCCGAGCAAACACCATTCTGCCTGAGATTACAGCAGAGACATGGGATCGTGAAACAATACGGTCAGCCCCGGGCTGGGCGAGAGTGGGACAGATAAGGGCAGCATTCCCCACCAGGCACAGGCCCCCAGTATCAAGCAGCAGGATGCAGCACATTCCTGCCGTGCTCTGGGCTGCCACTGTGCCCTGAAGGTCCCTTGGGCTCACAGCTTTGACACCATTTCTCAACGCATGCTTATTAAATGCCATCCCAGCGGGAGTCTTGCAGATCCACAAGTCCCCCTTGCTTGCCGTCATTTTTCCAGAGCAAGGATGCCCACGCTTGTCTGCAGGCATGGGGAGCAGCTCCCACCCAGCCCAGCTGGTAGACCATGCAGCATTGCCATTCCTCAGGGAAGACCCAGTTTGGGTTCTGCCTCTGCGGGCAGGGGACAGGCCCTATTTCCAGGGACATGTGAGGACCCCTTGGCCTGGAGAGTGGGGAGAAGAGACTCACCGCAGGACACAGTTGCTCTCATACCTCCACCCCCTATAGCGGCCGGGCAGCAGCTCAGGGTGGGGAGCCAGGGCTCCCTGCTTCCTCGCCTGCCCTGGCACCATGAGACAGAGCAAGCAAAGATAACCCTTATCTCTCAGATAGGGGCAGGGGTCGGAGCAGGAGGCTGTGTGTCAGTGAGAAGGCACACATTGCTGGACCAGCAGTGGGGACAGGTGGAAGCTTGTCCCTGGGCCCTTCCTATTTCCCCATTTGTCACCTCGCTATCAGCGTGCCAAGCTGCCTGACAAATGCCAGACATGAGCACGAGGAGATTACGAGTGTGGCTGCACTGCTCCTTCCTCTACCCCCACCTGCAGCCCTCCCAATGCTCACATGAGACCTTTTCTTTTTCAGCACTTTATTTATCAGAAAAAGCCAGGGGTCAAGAGCTCTTGGCCCATCTGACTAGGAGATAGCATGCTGGGAGCTTTGCAAGGGAGAGAAGCAGTGTCTGGGGCAGTCAGGAGACAATGGTACAGGCTTGAACCATGTCATGTGGGTGAAGCTGGTGGGAAGAGGCAGGATCTGGAAGCCTCTGCTCAGCTGCAGACTGGTCCACACATGCTGGGTCTTGTGCCATTAACAGATGGGTCACCCTCTGGGTGGATTTCAGCCTCAGTTCTGCTGAACATGGGAGTCCCAGGCGCAGTGGGGGCCAGGGGTCAGGATGCTCAGCTGAAGGGGAGGGTGGCTCTGATGACCGTCTCCCCATCTCGGCCCAACAGTGGGGTGGGACAGCAGAGCTGCTCCTACACTAACCCCGCCTGCCAGTGTCCAGTCTCTGGCAGGCCAGGGTCCGTGGAGGAGGACTCCTCCCCAGTAACATGGTCCGTGGCGCCAGGCAGAAGCTGATGCCACCTCCTCTCCCCCCAGCCTGGGCCGCAGCGGCACAGCCAGGAGCAGCCCTGGGCACGGCTGGGGACAGGAGGACATGTCTGAGCTCTCTAAGCACCATGCCCTTTGCCCGCGGCCGGGTCTAGAGGAGGTGGGCGCAGGCACGAAGGCGTCCCACGAGGCTCAACTCGTCCCTCCTGCGGCCACGCTCATCCCCTTCCAGCAGGGCAGGGCCCTGACCATTGCCCCTTCTCCCCTGGCAGGCACCCAGGTCAGCTTCCCCAAGTCGGCCGACGCCTTTGCCTTCGAGGAGGACAGCAGCAACGATGGGCTGTCTCCAGAGCAGGCCAGGAGCGAGGACTCCCCGGGCTCCACAGAGTCGGCGGCCCGCAGCAAGGCACCGGAGCCACCCCCGGCCCC